CTAGTGCCACACGCCACTCTCAAACCACCCCCCTATCCACTCTCCCTTCCCCCTCTCTTTCCCTCTGCTGTCATCTTTTCTCAGTCTAACCATAATATTTTTTTTGCTTTTTGGGTCACATGTGGTGATGCTCAGGGGTTACTCCTGGCTCTGCACTCAGGAATTACACCTGGTGGTGCTCAGGGGACCATATGGTATGCTGGAAATCAAACCCAGGTCGGCCGCGTGCAAGGCAAATGCCCTACCCGCTGTGCTATTGCTCCAGCCCCTAACCATCATTTTTATTGTGATTGTTAGTTCATTGGATTTGATTCTTTATATTCCACCTACAAGTGGAACTACTTGGTACTTGTCTTTCACTTTCTGGATTATTTCACCTAGACCAGTCCCCTCCAGTTCCATCTGAATTATTGCTGAAAGAAAGATGTCACCCTTTCGAATAACTGAGTAGGAGAGACCACCATCTAGTAGGCATACCGCAACTTATTTCAAGACATGTGATACTAATTTTTAAGGGCTAGCTTCCATCTGGGCCAGAGTGATATCATACCAGGTAGGGCATTTGCCTTGCATATGGTCAGCCTGAGTTCGATTCCTTCGCCCCTCTCAGAGAGCCCGGCAAGCTACCGAGAGTATTCCACCTGCACGGCAAAGCCTGGCAAGCTACCTGTGACGTATTCGATATGCCAAAAACAGTAACAACAAGTCTCACAATGGAGATGTTACTGGTGCCCGCTCAAGAAAATCAATGAACAATGGGAGGACAGTGCTCCAGCCTCCATCTGCTTCCTACCTGATTTGATCCCCAATTTTCCCATGATTAAGCCCTCATTTTTATCTAGGGCGATCTGGCTGCTCCAGTGCTGATTTGGACCATTCTTAGATGCATCCACTGTCTCATTCCACACACATATGCTTGTTTGCTAAGGACTGACCCAACTAATCCAGAGGATCCTAGGGGCCAAGACTCTCTCTTTGCCCCCATGCCGAATCACCCTTCTATTTATACTCTACCTCTTGCTGTGATGCTGTCATGTGAAAGGAGGAGGAACAGATGTGTGTGAGAGAGAGAGGAGAGACAGAGAGAGGCAGGAGGTAGGCAGAGAGGCAGAGAGGTAGACAGGACGGGAGGTAGGAAGAGAGACTGGAGGAGGCTGAGTGTTAATTCACTGGGTACGAGGGAGTAAGTCATCCCTGCAGGGGGCACACCATATGCATGGACATGGGCATGGCCTGTTGAAGAGGGCCAGGGTGTCTGGCGTTCCAAGAAGCACAAAGATGGAGAGAGAGCACTGGGGTAAGGTGCTTGCCTTGCACGTGACCAAAACAGGTTCCATCCCTGCTGCTGCATATGGTCCCTTGAATATCACATATGGTCCCAGAATCTTCCCTGGGCAGGCAGAAAACCAGAAATAAACCCTGAGGACCACTAAGTGTTCCCCCACCCCCCAAAGGTGCCTCAAACAAAAAAATCCCCAAACCAGGTACAGTCTTGTTTTCTGGAATATCACCATTGACTTTTGTTGCTGGTGTTAATGATGCATTCAGCCCATCTCGGACTTCGGTTTAAGAAGTGAAGACTCAGGACTTTGAGCACAGAGAGTGGATGGAGAATTATAAGAAGGGACTCCAGGACGGTACTTTTTGAGGCGCATTAGGAAGCCCACTGAGCCTGGGGAGCAGCAGCCCTGGCTATGGGGGCCTTGCCACTCTGCCAGGGGACTGAGGAAGCAGAATCTGGCTGACCATGCCCTGCCAGCACAGGATTGGGTGTTGGCCTCAGCACAGCAGGTCTTCTTCCAAGAAATGGCTGGCTGTCTGGGCTGTGACCAGGGCTTCTAGGAGCACCTCTCTCTCTCCTCTCTCAGCTGCAGTGTCTCCCCTTGGGTGTGATTGTCTTGCTTACTGGGGTATGTGGTGGCAGGGTGGTTATGCTTATGAATTTTCTCACTAAGTCTTAGCTCTGTCCCATTCCGCCCACTGCTCCCCTTCCCTGGTTGTCTGCTGAGATGATTAGTTGAACAGTTTGACATTATTTTGCTTAAAATGTTTCAGTTGAACCACCATGGGCTAAATTTATTTTGACCTCAGCTCTGTACTGTGACTTGACTCAGCCTATGAGCCCAAGGCAACTTGGTGCCAAAACTCTCTCTCTCTCTCTCTCTCCCTCTCCCCCTCTCTCTCACCCTCTCTCTCTTACCCTCTCTCTCTCCTCTCTTTTTCTCTCTCTCTCTTCCCCTCTCGCTCCCCCACTTCCTACTGAGATTCTTCCCAGCATTCTTCTCTTGAATCCTGAGGGATTTTGAAGCAGGAAACACAGTTTGGGGTTGGAGTTTGGTCAGTGGGACATGTAGGTGTGTGACAGGCAGGCTCGGGTGTGTCACTGGGGGCAAAAGACCTACTCATCATCTTGTGTCCAGATGTGTCTGACACTGGGGCTATTTGATTTACCAACCCCACGGGGGCAATTTAGCTTGTTGGTATCCTAGGGAGACCGGATAAGCTACTAATGCAGACAGCTTATTAAATCCTGGGCTGAGACGAAGAAACAAAAATATCACGACATTATTGAGTCTCCAAAAGAGGATCGTTGGAGGCCACAGGAGTTTGTAGATGGCTAGTAGATTCACTCTTCTAATTCTTGCAAATAGGGTCCCCTAGACACAGCTCTTTTCCCACAAGGCTGGACCCAGGCAGACAGATCGTCCCCTCCCCAACCAGACTTACCACACTAGGTTCCAGGGGGAAGTAAGGTGGAGGGGGGAGGAAGGTGACTTTTGGTGGAGAACCTGGGGGCTGTTACCTCTGAGTGGGAGATGGAGACACCAAGATAAAGCAAGGTTAGTGGCTGTTTTCATTTTAATTCTTCTTTGATCTGTCCATCACACATTTATAGAGAAGTTCCAATATCATGGGTTGACACTCAGCGAGCCCAGGGAATGTGAACTACAACAGGAGTGAGAGAAGATATAGCAGGACAGACATTAATCAAGTCATTTCAAATAAAATGAGGGTCTCAGAGGGGACTTGGTGGGACGTGGAGGGCACTTAACAGGCTGGACTAAAGGTATGTGGAAACCGCTCTGATTCAGTGACCTTCTCTCTGGAGAGTAAGAAGTGTGGAAGTTACAGTTCTAGGGTCAGTGAGAAGCTAAGAGACATGTTTCACATTTCAATGACAAAAAGTTTCAAGTGCAATGATCCAGAGGTGAGGAAAGGGCAGATACAAAGGACTAAAGGAGCAGCAACAGCTCTGAGGGGTATGTGGGGTCGGGGGGAGGTGGAAGGGGGAGTGGTGGCAGAGAGATAGGCAGGGAACACTGGTAGAAAGTTCTAGAGCCAAAAGTATTGGGAGATTTGTGCTAAGTTCCCTGGAAGCCATAAAATCATTTTAAGCAGAAGAATAACAGGATCTGATTTGCACTTTTTTCCTTTCCTTTTTTTGGAGGGGGGCAATACTGGGCACTGTTTGGGGCTTACTTCTGGCTCTGTGCTCATGAACCAGTCCCGATGGGGCTTGGGGAACCCTATGGGTGGCAGCGATTAACTCCACGTTGGCCATGTGCAAGAGAAACACCCTACCTTTTGTACTATCTCTCTAGCCCCAAGACTTGTCTTTTAAAAACATTATTCCAGGGCTATAGAGTTAACTCAATAGGCCGAATGCATGTTTTGCAAGTGGGGGGCCTGGGTTCAACTCTCTGGCACCTCATGGTCTCCCAGGTACTATCAGGAACAACATCTGAGCTCAGAGCTGTGAGTAACCCCTGAACACTGCTAGGGATGGGCTCAAAATTTTTGAAAAAAAATTATCTCAGGGCTGCTGCTGCTAGGGATGTGGTGGGGTGCTCTGTGGACAGCTAGTTTAGCAGCAGAAAGCACCTGCTTGCAGGCGTGAGGTCATAGCTTTGATTTTTGGTGCTGCCTGTGTAGGCCACAGGAGGTCCCAATGACTTTGCTCTCTGGAACTTTCGGTGCTACATCAGTCTGTGTAATCCCTGGGCACCATAAAAACAACAATTGGAAAGAGAAATAAATACATGCATTTGGTTCTGCTATTTAAAAAAATAGTTCCAGTTGTTGTTTGAGAAGAAGTAGAGGTGTGGGAATGGAGGTGGCCAATCCCTGATGGGGTTGGTCAAAGCATGAGGATATTTTGCTCTCAGGAAGAGAATTAGCAATGAAGACAGGGAGACTGGCAATGTTTGTGGTCTGTGTTGGGGAGTCACTGACAGACCCCGATGGCGGACAGGGTGACTGGGAAGGCATTTCTGAGCAGTGCTTGGAGGAAAATCCAGAATCTGACAATGTGTTTATGACATCTGTGGTGAACCTTTTCACGTGGGATGTGCAGCTGATGTAAGACTAGAAAGTAGAGAGCTTTGTGGACCATGAGCCAAAAGACCACTGTGGAGACTGGACTGTGGAGGCAGGAAACAGCAGGAGACAGAAGGTGGGAAGAGCAGAGAAGGCAGGGGGTAGGGTGGGAACCATCCTTCAGTCTCCAGAAGGTCATCTGAGAAAGCTGGAAAGGCTTTGGAGAGTTTAAAACTTTGGGGGGAAGGCGAACCTCTTTTGACATTTATGATCACACAAGCTGACCTGTTGGGAAGAAAGAAGCAGAAAGACCCATGAAAAAATGACAGATTTTGTCTTTTCCTATTGCAAATCACATTCCATGGTGATCTGCCAGATACTATCAGCCACCACTAGGTAGCTGAAGCTGGAGGGGATCATGCTGAGTCAAGTCAGCTGGAAGGAGAGGGATAGACATGGAATGATCCTTCTCATATGTGGGAAATAAGAACTCAGAGCAAGGGAACAACAGATGACCCAAAGTTACAGAATATTTAGAACTGGTCCATAGGATGGAGCATACCAGAGCAGTGAGACATGGAGAGCGGGTGGGGATGGTGAGGTTGGGGAGCAGGGAAGCGGGAGACCCTAAGACAAGGGTGGTGGCAGGTGTGATGTTGGACTGTTGTATGCATGAAACTGCACCATTGACAGCATTGTGAAACTGTGAATATTATGACTGGGAATGGAGGTGTCCAGTCCCTGATGGGACTGGTTAGAACATGAAGATGTTTTGTATACTCAGTGGCTAAAGTAAAAGTTAAAAAATAAAATGTGTGACAGTTCAGGAGAGAAAAGGTGGCAGAGTAGGCTAAGAGTTAGGGCTGTGAGTAGTGAGATGCAACTGGGATCCATTTTTTTTTTTTGGACCACACCCGCCAGTGCCCAGGGCTTACACCTGACTCTGCACTCACGGATCACTCATAGTGGGTTCAAGGAACTGTTTAAGGTGCTGGGGATTAAACCTGGATCTACTTCATGCAAGACAAATGCATAACCCACTGTACTACTGTTCCAGCCTGAAGGGCTCTGGGTAAACTGGCAATAGACACAGCATAGCATGATAAAAAGGGAGTTTAGAATAATGTCTGAGATTTGGGGCCTTCTCAAGATGAAGAAATCTATGAAAGGAGTTGGCTTGATGAAGAAAGAGGGTCTTGATGTAGTAACGGTGGTTGTGACACATGTGTTTTACTCTAAGGTCAGAGATCACATCCAAGCTTGCTCTCCAGCATGGAATCATATCCCGAGGCCCCAGAGTCGTCTTTCTTGAACACATTTCATGAGAAGTATCTATTTAATATGAGTGGACATGTAGGGCAAGCTGTAGAGTCTGTAATTAAAAGAAACTGAAAAATGAGCAGAATTTGAAGCTAATTAGAAATTTAGTTTACAGTTAGTTCCTGGATAAGCCCACTCAACTAAGGAAGAATAGATAAGGAAAAAGATCTAACAAGAGCAAGGATGAGAGGCAAGAACTACTGGAATCCAAGATACAGGGAAAGAAAAGACTTAATGGTGATGAGCTAGCCCGCCGTTGGTATGTGGCTGACTGGTCACGTAGGACAAGAAATGAAAATGCACTGCCAGTTGGCCCCGTGGGAATCACTAGTGACTTTGCAAGTACTGTTTTGGAGTGGGGAGGGGGTAGGGTGGCATTGAGAGCCTGAACAGAGAAGCTCAAAGGCAAGAGGTTTGGCAAGAGGCCAGTCAACAGCTCAGGGCACGGTGTCCAGACGGGAGCCAGTCTGACAAGCTGGGTGGGGGATAGGGATTGCAAGCAAGTGGTCTAGAGCTCAGAGCAGAGTTTCAGATCTCAGCAGGAGAAACCAAAGGGCCAAAAATACATACTTGGAAGAGATATGTTCGAAACATAAGTCAGGAGAGCTGGAGGGGGAAGGAGGCATCAGCTCAGGGCAGCAGGCTTCTCCAGTGGGGAGAGGGACAGACCCACCTCGCTCTGAGGAACAGGGCTGGTGGGATGGGATCTCCACAACTGTTCTGGACCGGGCCACACCTTGCCAGATCTGGGTGCTTTCCCTCCAACCCCCTACCTGATTTTGTTTTTTGGCTATGATACTCCTGGCTATGATACTCCTGAACTTAGGCTCGGTACTTAGGGATCACTCCTGGTGGTGCTCAGGGAACCCTCTGCAGTGCCGAGGACTGAACCCAAATTGATCACTTGCAAGAGAAGTGCCTTACCTACTGTACTCTCTCTCTTCAACCTCCTGAATGCTTTTCAAAGTCACAGCACCCTGGGGACACTCTCAGGGAATCCCAGCTCACTTGCTTTGCCTGGGACTCAGCCTCATTACCAGATGTCTTCTCTGGTGACTGGGACACGCCACCAACTCCAGCTTATTCCAAGCTTGGGATCGAGCCAGTGTGGGAGGTGTGCTGAGATTATTGGGGCTCTGGGGAAAGGCAGTCACGGCCGTAATCTCTGAAGGAATGTGTTGACTTGCCTCCAGAGAGCAATGCGCAGGACATTTACCAAAATGAAAATCTTGATTAATTCTACAGCTCTATAGCTCCCTGCAGGCTGCAGAAAAAAAACCCATCATTTGCCACCAGAAACCATATTTATTCTGGTAGTGCAGATAATATTGCATGCACATGATGCTGAATTGGTCTTACTTTTCTGAAACTGCAACAGGCTGCAACACATAGAATTCAGAGAAACACAGCCATGACTGATATCTCTTGGGGCCACCTGGTCCAGAGGCCTGCAGGAACTCTCGAGGAATGCTCAGCCTTGTGCTGGATTTCAGTGTGCTCTAGGCAGAGAAGGCTCCTCAAACCCAGTCTCTCTTCCTTTGGGGCAACAGCTGTTGATGGGTCACATGCCATTTCCAGGACCTGTCAGTGACAGGTGTGCCCCATTCTACCTAGGGGCTAATTCTAATTAGGGGCTGGGGTCTAGCTTGTTAGAGTGGCTGCATGACCAGGCACAGTGAGGGTTCTAGAGATAGGTATGGAATGCAAAAGGGCCCCCTTGGCATCGTTGTTTCTGGTTCATATGTGGAGAATAGTTGCATTCTGGCTTGAAGAATGTGAGTCTGGATTTATCTGTTGTCACTGTCATTGTCCTTGTGCCATGTGGACGAAGAAGCTTGTAGAAAGAAACCTAGTAGAGATGAGGTAGAGAAGGAAGGAAAGAGCTGGGGAGTGGGGTGGAGGATGAGGGAGAGAGAGACAGAAGGAATAGGGGGAGAAAAATGATGGGTAGGAAGGAGAGAGGGGAGAGAGAGAGAGACAGAGACAGAGGACATGTGCACGTACACACACACTCACACAACAGAGTTCTGCCGACTGCATGCCTGCTTCCAGGCCTCCAGGTTCTGGAACTTTCAGTCCTTTGAGCTCTCCCTGCATCCTTTTTGTGGGGTCAGTTCTTGGGGTAAAGGTCTCCTGTAAGGGAAGTGGGGTTCTCATGGCCCCGGGAGCAGGTGGCTGGGCTGGGGAGGCTCTGCAGGGTGAGGCAGGCATGGTCAAAGAGTGTGTGTGGCAGCTCTCCCTGTGACGTCCAGGTGTCCGTGTCGGGGTCATAGCAGTCAAAGGCGGCCGAGTCCTCGATGCGGCAGTCACTGGTGAGCCAACGGCCGCCAGTCACATACAGCTTATTCCCCAGCACCGTGGCCCCGTGGTGCATCCTCCGGTCCTTCATGTCGGCACACTTGGCAAACTTGTTTGACTGGGGGTCGTAAGCAAGAGTCCTCCGGGTGTAACCTGCCAGTCAATGGCAAGGGACACTCTCAGTAGGGCTCAGTGTCCTGCTGTCCCCTGACACTGATGAGGCTGCAGGGGGAATGCAGCCATGGACATCTGGATCAATCGCCCTGCCTTGCTGGAGACAGAGCTAGGGGTTGGACGCAGCTCTGCCCGACTCTGGCTCCTGCACCCTCTCCACAGGTTGAGGTCATGCACCAGCCATTCTTGTGCATCTTTCTTGGAGGCCCGTTGAAGAGCTCTTGCCCTCTAAGGAAGAGCTTTTGGGCACTCAGGGATAGGAGACTTTCAGGACCTCCCTCTCTGCAGATATGAAAACCGAGGGGAATCACAGAGAGGAATCACTGACCCAAGAGCAGGTATTCAGGGAGGGGCAGTGTCGGGATTAGAACCCAGGTCTCTCTGACCTCAAGACCAGGCCTCCACCCTCCCTGGCACCCCATACCACTGTTAAGGAGAAATGAACCTCTACAATGTCAACAATGGCAAACATGGTTTGACTATTTGCCCTGGGTCTGGGATAGCGCCAAGTGTCTCTGATATGAGTACATTTTATGATCAAAACTCTTGGAAACAAGTATTGTTTCACCCCTTGTTTACATATAGAGACAGGGAGAAACTTCTGGATGAGAAAAGAACTTTGTCAAGTCATCCCCATGCCAGTGGTTGGATGAATGTGCTTTTAAAACGACCGTCTTGTAAGAACAACATCTGACTGTGAGGGACCGTTTTTCCACAGCTGATGCCAAGTTTGTGTCCGGCCTCTCCGTCCTCTGTTCAAACTCACCTCCCACGATGACGATCCGCTCCCCTAGCACCACCGCGGGGGCACACACATTCTTGATCATCCTTGTCTCCATTTTGAACCATGTGTTTCTGGAAAGGTGATAAACCTTCGGGAGAAACAGAAGCACAATACTGTATTTTAAAGGGATCGGTATCTTTTAAGAGTTAGAAGTCATAAAGAAAAGGGGGAGCTAGGCGGGCTTTTCCTCTTTTACTTTTCCCCAGTTTTAAGAATGTCTGCATTTTACTATTGGTCATCAAAGTATAAGTAAAGAAAAGAGACTATTAGTATAGTGACAATCTCTATGAGCTCAGTGGTCGTTTCTATAGAGTAAACCAAGAGTCCTGGAGTGTTGCCTGTGTCTGCTTACCTTGTTTGGAACAGATTTTCTCTCAGTGAGAAATGGAGTGACTTGGGTATTCATAAAACCTATGATTTTTCAATCATTTTCATCGCTGGCTCATATTTAACATTCTAAATGTATCCAAGAAGACTCTCCAGATTTGGGTCTAAATTTGGGGCTAAGTGAAGAAGGCTTTTGTTTTTGTTTTTGGGTCACACCCAGCATTGCTCAAGGCTTACTCCTGGCTCTGCACTCAGGGATCATTTGGGGACCATCTAGGGTGCCAGGGATCAAACCTGGGTTGGCTGCAAGCAAGGCAAGTGCCCTACCTGATGCACTTTCTCTCTCTCTAACCGCCCCCACTCTGTCAAAGAAGGCTTTTAAACAATTTTTGCCTTAATGTTATTAGAATCACAGAAAAATGAGAGGATAAGAAGGAAGACAAAAAAAGGTCAAGGTTCCTTTGCTGTGTGCTTTGAAACACAAGAGTGTCCCACGATCCCCAGAAACATGTTCCTGATAACCTCCTCACTTTAAAACTCAAATATTAAATGCAAATGAGTTCATTTGTGGCAAAAAATCTTGCATGAGCAATACAAAAGATGGCCCTCATACAAGAAAAGAAAGAATACAAATTCATTTTCGGAAGAAAATGGCATTGAAAAATAAAATTTGCAGTATTCTCTGGAAATTATTTTGGCATAAAATATACTTTCTAGCACTAATAAAATTTTATCATTTTTATCAAATTATAGCTTTTTTTAATCATTCTATGAAATGGATGTGATTAAACCACTGAAGCTCAGGGTCTGAAAAGTGGTTCCATGGCAGAACTCATGTCTTGCTTGTATGAGACCTGGGGTTCCATCTCTATCTAGGAAATTATAAAAGTAACAGATTAGACTCCTGAGGCTTAGAGAGGGTAAGAGATATGCTGAAGGCCACAAGGGTGAGTGAGTGGGAAAATGGAGCTGAGTCCAGTGTTCGTTTTCTTCCCACCACATTCAAGGCTCTGACTAAAGACCTATGGGTGTGGCCTTTCTTGAAGCGTGTTTTTGAGACTGGACATATCTTAGGGTCTCTCAGTTCTTTAAGTCTGAGGAGTCAAGTGCTAGAGTTAGTGCCAGCCATAGTGACAGTCCACCCATCTGCTTGCATCTGAAAATACATAGATATAACTCTTCGGAAAGTGGGATTCTGGGAGGATAAGCAAACATAGGGTGCATTTTCCATGAGTGAATAATCGCCTCTAGGCCTTCTGCTATCCATCAGCTTTGGGTATGGTTTCAAAAATAGACTCAACATTGGCTCACAGTACTTGTAATACCCACAGAGAAGCTGGGGCATAGGATAAGTTTTGACCAGTGGAAGAAATGATGTCTTCTGATGGTAAAAGGATTTGCTGGATGCCATACAGAAGGACAGGAAGCCAGACCAGGTAGAAAGAAGCATGTACACATATAACTCCTGGGCTCTAGAGTTCTTAAAAGAATGAAGATATACAGATTTGAACCATCCTCTGAACAAAACTCTGAGCTTTAGGACTGAAAATCAATTTACCCCATGCAATGATCCCAAGTATTCCACTTAAGCTATGGCAGGATAATTAAAATTTCTACCTTAAAATGAATGCTTTGCTTCTCTGCAGTGAAATACTCTTCTCCTCTCATCACTGATATGTACGAGGATTGCTCATATGTTAGTATTTTTTTTAATTTTGCAAGTGTCTTGTTTGGTTATACTATGCATTTCTTGATATGCTGGCATAAAAGCTTTTTTTCTCCCCTCTTTCTGATGCACTTGTATTTATTCTTTGGAAGTCTGTAACAATTTTGCAGTGTGAAATCATCTGCACTTTTGTTGATTTGATTTTGAAAACAAATTCAGAAAAGAGGACTGTAGCTGTATATAGAAGCACACTAGGCGTTCTCTCTGTGTGGCAGGCATGCGGGGCAGCGGAGCAAGTCTCTCTTGGCTCACGTGAGAGAGTGGGATCTGGACCAAACTCAGAACCTGCCTGGATAATCAGGGAAAGTATGGATTGGAGAAGCGACAACATGAAGAATAAAAATAATGAAACCAGCTCACCGCTCTTCTCTATCTCTTCTCCATCTCTTCTCCATCTCCACCACCTCACCCAAGCCCCATCCATCCTCCCTCTCCTGGATGGCAGGAGGAGTGCCCTACCTTCCTTTTATTTTGTCTACCGAGGCCCCCTCCAATTCCTTTTTCACAAAGCATCCAGAAGGAATGTTTACTTTTAATTTGTTTTTCTGACCACATCCAGAGACTCTGTGCTCACAGGCCATGCCTGGCGGTACTTGGGGGACCACATGCAGTGTTGGGATCTAAACCCATGTCCTGGGCGCAGCCCCATGCTAGCCAAGTGCCTTAACCTGAGTCCGAGCTCTCTAGCCCCAGGAGGAATTTTGAACCATATAAATTGGATTATTTCACCCACTCGGTTTGAAACTCCTTCTTGAGGCCTCAATATTTTAGGCTACAATCCCAATTCCTTGACAAGGCTTAGAGAATCCTGTTCCATCAGTCTCACATCCCAAGAATGTTCTAGAAGCTCAAGAGGAGAAACTCAGGGGAAGAGGTGTGGGTGGAGGAGGGTAGCTCACGGTAGCTCCTCCTTGGTGCACCCCTTTCCCCTCTCCTTGGTCTAACTTGTGCCTATAGTGACATGCTTTCAGTTGTTCAGGAAGTAGGCTGTAATGCTTTATATTTCAGGGTCTTTGACCTCACTGCCTCCTAAACGATATCACTGACTCTGATCCCTGCCTCCGAGGGCAGACTCATGTGCACAGGGAATTTGGCAGACATGGTGCATGCCAGAACCTTCTATCGAACTCAGGACTCTCTTCATCCTCATTTGCCTTCTTTTTTTCATCTCTTTCTCTCTTCATCTTCATTTGCCTTCTTTTTTCACCCACCTTTCTTCTCATTTCAGCTCCAATCACAGAGTTTCCTTCAAAGCCCCCTAAATATCTCTAGACCAGTGTGGGATACCTCCCTCCCACAAACTTTCAGGGCACCCTCTGTTCAGCACCTCATTTTCTGTTATTTTGTGAGTATCATTGGTGGACCCTGCCTTTCTCTCCAAGGCCTTTATTGACACTCTGACAAACAGCAAATCTCATAGGTCTCTTCAATTATCTTAATAATGGGTTCTTTACTTGAGTTTTTCTTTTCTTTTAGTGAACTGCAGATATTAGAAATTGCATCAAGTTCATATTCTAAAATTTGGTCTCTCTTATACTTCACAGAAAACTTGTTAGTAAGTGAGCATCCACCTCTTGTTTAAAACAGGGGTCCCTTGGGTCAGCGATGTGGTAGAGTGCATGTGTGAGGCCCTGGGTTAAATCCCTGGCACCATAAAAAATGCAGGGATCCTCTGGCAGTGACTAAAAATTTCCTGGAGACTTGCAAATGGTGCATGTCAGGACCACACATACGAGATTTTATCTAGCAGGTCTTTGGTAATAACTGTGGATCAAGTCTTATGACTTAGGCTGAAGCACCTACCAAATTCCTATAGGCTCTTACTGTATATGACATGTGTATAGTAAAGAAGTAAAGTAAAGTAATAGCATAAATGATCCTCTTGTAACGATCAAGATTGTGTCTGATGTGATTTTGTATCATATCAGCCTTACACCTAAGTATTGATAAGTGGAAAAACTCTTGCTGAAATTATCTTCCTCCCTCCCTCCCTCCCTCCCTCTTCATGCTGAAAATTGTAAGTGTGCATTATATGCATATAATGAAAACCGGTGTCCATTCATATAGGTATGAATACTCATATATGTGTACATTCATGCATGTGTATAATGGTGTACATGTATGTAGTATATATGTATACATAGATATGTACATATATGTGTATATATGTGTTTTTATAAGTATATGTGTGCACATGAGTGTATTTATATTAGCGTATTTGTGTATGCATGCGTGTACATACATGTATGCTTGTATGTATGTGACATATAATCATGAACTTTCGGAACAGGAAGGACCAGTTGATTACCTGGATAAGGCGCACAGGGTTCTGCATGGCGTCCTCTCCTCCAAAGAGGTACAGCCTTTGGTCCTTTACGGCCACAGCGGGATGGAGAACCCCCACCGGCATGCTGGCCATAGTCTCCCAGATGTTGCTCACGCTGTCGTACCTCTCCACAGAGCCCAGGACCTCCTGCCCTTCTCCGATGCCCCCGATGGCGAAGATGAAGTTCTTATGAGCCGTGCTCCTGTGGGAGTAGCGGGCGGCCAGCATGGGCTGCCCCAGACTCCACTGGTTGAGTTTCAGGGAGAAAACGTAGACTTGGCGACTGGGCACGTGCGCCCCCTCGCCCACCACCACGCCCCCCAGCACATAGATGCTGCGGTGCAGGGCCACCGAGGCCGCCTTGTAGAGCCGGACGGGGAGTTTGGCCAGGCCCTGCCAGCGGCCACTATGCCCGTCGTACAGCAGCACGTCGCGGGTGGTCTGCTGGTTGTCCTTCCTCCCCCCCACGAGGAGGAGGAACTCTCGGTACGCGTTCCTGGGAGGCACGTGCCACGGGCCCGGGAGGCTGGAGGCGCCGTGCAGGGAGAACACCTGCCTGCTGGCTGCTTCCAGGAGGGCCCTGCAGGCGGGCGAGGAGCGCAGGAGGGCATCGCTGGCAATGAAGTGGTGGAAGAAGGCGGGGTGGATGTACCGCAGCCTCACCTGCAGCAGCAGCTCCAGCATGTGCGGTCTGCGGCTGCCCACGTCGTGCCGCAGCCAGGCCATGAGGGCCTCGAACACCGTCTCTTCCTCGGCGCACAGCGCTGCGTCCCCCAGGTAGTCGCGCAGCTCCGTGGCGCCCAGCTCCTTGAGGTCGGCCGTGGCGGCCACTTCGGGAAACCGAGTCAGGGCCACGTCTCGGGCCTTCCGGCGGAGGGTCTCGCAGCTGAAGGTGTCCGAGAGCCGAAGGAGGCCCAGGCAGTTGCCGGGGCTCAGCTGGCCCTGCAGGTACGCCGAGCAGGCCTCAAAGAGCTTGAGGTACTGTAGCAGGGACGCTGCCTCCAGCAGCGCCAGCACGTTGCGCGCCGTGATGTGCGCCTCCCCGGTGTAGGCGTACAGGACGATCTGGCCCAGCGTGGCCGGCTCCAGGCCTTGCAGCTGCACGCGGGCCTCGCGGCTCTCCCGAAAGCTGCCGCCGAACATGGCCCGAAAGTAGGGGCTGCTGCAGGCCAGCACGTTCCGGTGGCACGGCAGCTCCGTGGCGCCCGCGCAGACGCGCACGTCCGTCAGGAGCCCTTGCTGTCGCAAGTTGTTGAGCTGCCTCAGTAAGTCAGAGGAGAAGTCCTGGTCTTTGAAGAGCATCTCCTCAGGGGGCTTCCTGTCCATCCTGCAGAGGGGAGGAACCCCGCGGAGGGAGCAGTGGTGGAAGGAGGGGCTGCCACAGCGGCTGCAAGACTGAGCACTGCAGCACTGCGCTCCAAGAACACCAATTGTGGGGAGATTGGGAGATTGGAAGGGGGTGGGGGCAGAACTCCCTGGACCCCAGACCTCAGAACTGGCACCTCTCTGTGAGTTACGATTGCTCTCTAGGGAAAAAGGTGGAAAACACCTCCAAATAACCAAGACAACAGAGCAAGCAAGACCCAGGTTGTTAGAATGGATGGTGGGGTGGGGGTGGGGGATGGGAATCTGAAGCCAGTGACCCTGGGTGGACATGTGGGTGAGTCTTTCTCCAGATTCTTCCCACCTCTAGTAAACTCGTCAAGCCTCTTTTGGGTTATTAATCATCCCCAAGGTGTTGTTCTGGGGGTGTGGCCTTCTGATCCCCAGCCAGAAATGAAGGATAAAAAATGGCCCCTTGCAATGACTTTTTTTTTTTTTAACAAAAGCGAAACAAAACACATGACTTCACAGAGCCGAGTTTTGTTTTAAAGTTGGGATAAATAGAAAGCAGAGAGCAAACAATTCCCCAGAAAGGGTTCATTGGATGATCTCTGGTCAGCTCCCCACAGAATGGGGCGATAGGGATTTTTATTTACCTTGTTCTGCAGCCGGGACACCCACCGATGTCTGGTCCGGCTCTGTCCCTCCAGAGAGTCCCCACCTCTAGCTCTGGGTGAAACCGTAAACCCAGGCCCCTTCAGTTGGCAACAGGTTTGTCCTGGGTTTGTTTATGCTGAAGGCGCTGTCACAGTTTTCTAGAGCTTTGTGAAAGAACCGCTGGGCAGGGAGACAGCGTATACATTCCAGAGCTAAGAATAGTTGTGTATGTACTTTCCACTGTTATGACATGTGACTTTCCAGTTGCCTTTTGCAGCAACCCGAAGGCCTGCAGGGCCCCGGGCGCATGCCCACATGGTGTGTTTCCTTGGCAAGTGTTTACATGGGCAGAAATAGATTTGGCGGAGGGCTTCTCTCCGGAGAAGACTTTGCTGCCCACTTGGAAACACCCCGAGTCCCTTGTCCTAAAAGCGCCTGGAACTCTAGATGTCCGTAAACAGGTTGCTGTGACCTGGGGGAGTTGCTGCCGACACTTCTGTGCAGAGGGTTATAAGAGAAGGCCACTTGGGGGCCCAGAGTGCCCGTTTCTGCACTGTCTGTGGTCCAGGCCTTGGGGAGGGCTGGGGTTCCTCCTCCTTGACTTTGGGACAGCTGTTTGTTTGGGGGCCACACCTGATGGTGCTCAGGGGCTACTTTCAGCTTCGTGCTCAGGGGTCACTCTTGAGGGTTGCTTCTGGAAAGTTCTCAGGGCACCATAGGGTGCTGTGGATGGAACCTGAGACTCTGCATGCAAAGTTATGTGCTCCAGTCCTTTGAGTCATCTCTTTAGCCTCTGACAAAGATTCTTGTCAATATTTATGGAGAGTCAGGGCTTCTAGACTTAGGAAGAGAAAGACCAGGCCTCCAGAGTCAGGGACTTCTGTTTTAAAGGGTCGGCACTCTTCTGGGTCATGCTCACGGATGTGTGCCGGTTTACTCATCCACACTGTTGTTAGAGTTGGAGTTTAGGCTTCCTATTTCTCTTTTATAATTTCATGAAGGAGGCTCAATTTGGAGAAAGAAGGCAGGACCTGTTGTTTCGGGATGTGGTAGAGAGGGAGGGAGGAGCAGGGCAAAGGAGGGAGAGAGAGAGGAACGGGGGAGGAGGAGGAAGGAGAAGGGAAAAGAGAGAAGGAAAGTGGAGGCAGAGGGAGAAAAAGGATGAGGGAGAGGAGAGGGGAGGTAAAGGAAGAGGAGGAGAGCACAAGCAGGGAAGAGAACAGTGATGATAGAGAAGGAGACAGAGTGCAAATGTGAGAATCCAAACCATGATGGAGAACTATGAAACCTTGAAGATGAAGATGGGACACCCACCTCTCTCCTGTTAATGTCTCCGAGAAGGCTATGCTTGAGGGTCCAAGCAGTGAGTGCCAGGAAGCCTGGCTTTCTCTCCTTCTCCAGTGTAGCTGAGACTATTTGCATTGGACTCTATCCTTGCTAATTTTTTCCTGTTCCCAGTCTTTCTGCCTCCAAAACTCTGTCACCACTAGGATAGCCCAGGGAAGGCAAATCAGTGCCTGCCAATGTTCTTCCGTGGCTTCCCCATGTCTGAAGGATGAAGTCCAGACTCCGGCAGGAATCAGATTGGCTCCCTGCCCACCTCCGGAACTGTCTCCTACCACTTCCTTCTCCCACTTAGATTTCAGTTTTGCTTGAAGATCTTTTCATGTGTATGATCCCTGCCACGCTCATCTGGTCTATAGGGTAGAGTGGCAGTAGGGATGTCTCTTCTCCCAGTTGTAGTTCATAGAGTGGATCATGCCCACAAATGTCTAAAAGGCCAGTGTCAGGTCAACATCCATGACCTGTCACTGAGATCTTGGGCCCAGAGGCCCAAAGAAGGAGCCAAGAAAGTCAGAGATCAATAAAGGTACAAGCAAGGTGCTGAAGAGAAGAGCTATGTGAGCAGACCCCTGTCCTTCTGAGTTGTGCAGGTGATATAACAGGCGGGTAGCCAAATTCCTTTAAGGGCTGAGTGTCACTCAGTTTCAAGCTCTGTGCCATGGCACATGCTCTGCCTTTGACCTTTCTTCCATTTTCACTTCTGCATTCCTACACATCCTTCAAGAACAGTTTGTATGTTAGCTTCTCTGAAAGTCTTGCTTGCCCTACTTAGACATTTCCCTTTGTCTCCATATCTCATTGCAATTATGTGAATTCATCTGTATCTCCATTAGAATGGATGTCTTATTGTATTAATTGCTCAATATTCCCAGTACTAGCATAGTTCCTGGTATATTATATATAACAGAACATGGTAGAGGAAAGGAAGGAGGGAAGGGAGAGAGAGAGGAGGGAGAGAGAGAGGGAGGGAGAAAGAAAGCACTCTGGTGAGTGTCTGGTTGGCAGGGCTGCCATGTGGAGCTTGTATGCTCCAATTAACTCCAGTGCAAATGGCACAGTGGAATGTCCCTCATTTTAATCAAAGCCAGTTATGTGTTGAAGTGAAAAGTGAACTAATTGCCTGATACAACAGCACAAGAATTACATACAGGGTTGGGAACTAAACTGAGGTCCTCTCAAAATCAAAGCTAGGGTTGTAGTCCCTGGCCTTAGATTTAGCACAAAGAAAAAAGAGCTTCCTAAGTGCTCTGAAATGCCTTATCATTTCTCCATCAGCTAGTGAGCCAGTCATGGGAAGGATTTCCAGGAGTGAACCAACACAGCACCATCCATGGGTAGGAAACTTGGCCTTCAAAGATCCAAGCTTTGTCAAGTGTTCACTGAGTCTTAATAAGTAGTAGTAATATCCAACCGACTTTTGTAAATTCCTTTAATCCTAATTTTAATCCTTAAACGGGCCCATTCCATTGGTCTGTCCTGTTGGTTACCTCTGGTTCCCTATGAAATGTCAGAAAAGGAAGTCTTTATCCTAAAGGAGCTCAAACCCAGCGACCTCAAATCCAGTCCAAAAAATATCTCTACCACCTACAATGTAACCCAACCTGCCTACTTTCAACCTAAAAATCTATTCATTTTAAAGAGATTTTTGCTTTTATTTTCACTTTATGTCCATCCTTCTCTGGAAGCTGTCTTAATTCAGCATATGGGAAACAAAATAAGATAGGATATTCTCAGGGCCAAGATATTATACAGGGGGATGGGTTAAGACACATGCCTAGTAAGTACTTGGCCTGGGTTTTAATTCTCTCACCAGATAGTCCCCCAATAACTATTGGGTGTTTCCCTGGAGGCCCCGGCACTGTCTGGATGTTCCAGGTATCCTCAGCACCACAGGTCCCTCAACAGCATCATATCCTTGGGTCTTTGCATTGACCCATAGCTCACTTGACCAAGAATTGCCTATGGGCCCCCAAACCTCCTAATAGGCGTTGGTGCCCAGTTTTCAGTGTCCAGTCTGGTATCCTACTCACTCTACCATATGTTTCATATTTCTTCAGCAATATTTCTTGTTGTCTACTCTCACGCTGGGGGTCCTGAATTCGAGTCCAGTTTCTGCCATGAGCTGGCTCTTTGTCTCCAGACAAGTCACTTAACCACTCTGAACTTATTCTTTCACCTGGCCCTGAAAGTGCAGGCCAGTTGACCTCTGATTCTTGCCTCTTCCCATTGGTCCTATGCTTTGTGCCCTGAAATAGTTGAGAAGGGAATGCTGGGGCCAAGCACCCAAGGGTGAGAGTTCTGAGTTCTGCACACCTCTGGCCTGGAAATAGAAGCTCTGGGCTGAGTCCATGCTCTCCAATTGCCCTTGGTGACTGGACTGTTTGAATGAACTCCAGTTTCCCAGTAGAGTTTTGCACTGACATTACTGAATGCTTTTGACTCCAGAGACCTTGGTTTCTCTCTGTCCCCGTGTGCTGGGCCCAGACTCCCTGCTTTGGACCAGCAATGAGTCTGACAGCTGTAGTGAAAGAAGCCACCATGGGTGCCCTACCCCTTCCATGTCCTCCTACCACCCCTTGGGGCAAGGCCTTCCATCTCCCGGGTACTCCTTTGCTCTGTGGCTCTAAGGAGCTGTTCCACCAGGGAACAAACACGCACTCTGCATCCATGTGTCAGTTCCTCCATACCAATAGGGCTTTCCCCTAGGCCTGGTGACTTCTGTTCCTAAAGTTGGCAGGTAGAGGGAAAAGGTGAGGGGCAGATTCTCATTTAATGAGACTTCCATGAATGAGAATCCAGCCAGCAGGATGAAACTTGCCTCTTGCTCTGCAATTTTAACCCTTTTCTCTCTGCGTGAGTGTGTGCCTGTCCATCGGTGTCTGTATCATGCTGGCTGGGTATGTTTTGTAGCCAACTTGTAGAAAACTGAACGGGGACTTTGTACTCCAAACAATGACCGAAAAGCAGCCTGTGCTGTGATTCTAGGTTGCTATGACTACTGTCCTCAGAGAGCCGAAACCCCTCTGCTACTTTTACCAGGGCTCCAGTGCCAATGGCTCCATTCCCAACTCTTCCTCCACCCTGCTCCTCCCATCCCCTGAAAATATCTTCATTCTCCACCCCCCCACCCCCTCCAGAGAGGGCAAGGAAATAATAAAAAATCCAGGAGGGATGACGTCAGGGCCGTTAGCAGATTTGTGATATATAACCCAGTTTTCTGGCCCCCCTTTCTTCCTGCAAACTAGAGTCTGACCTCATACATCATTTATGGCACAGATCAGCTTTCTGGGCTCTAAATCAAATTGGGGGGAAAAGAAAGAATAGGATCAAGGATGCATTTTTACTCTCCCATTTTAGCACTCTGAGTCACAAAGAATAACAGTGCCTGGGCCTCTCTGTTCCCTGGGGCCCAGCGCTTCCCAGCGGGGTAGGTGTTTAGGCAGAACATCTCTCCCCCCAGGCCACTCAGGCAGAGTTTGGCAGCTCGCTTGCTTCTACGGGACAGAAGGTGATGACCCACAGTGGGAGGCTGAGCTGGAAAGGTGCACTTTACATTTACCTTATGAATGGGGTGAGTTAGCATCATTACAGGGCAATGAAAGTTGATCCTAGTAAGGATTCATGCATACAGTCATACATCCAACAAAAAGTATCTGTCAGCTATCCACTCTTTATCTGTATATTATCATTCATCGGGCTGGAGCGATAGCACAGCGGGTAGGGCGTTTGCCTTGCATGTGGCC